AGTCTTTTGGTGTACGTGCTTGCTTTTTTCTGTATTTCAACTATAAAGCAGAAAGAAATTTGCCTATGTGTCCTCAAGGCAATAGAAAACATGTGACTGGCTTTGACCAGAGTTATCTGCCTCAAACAAGGTATGACTGATGTCATGTGGGGCCCTAATAGTCTGTTTTGGCAGAGGAAATGAAAAGGAACAAGATGCTTGGCAGTTCTGAATCCAAAGTTCATTACTATTACTACTCTGCTAAGTAGTACAATCCAAGAATTATGTTTTGTTTATCATAGGGGTGATGGTGCATGCCTGTATTCCCAGTTCTCAGGAGCAGAGGCAGGAGTATTGTGATTTGGTAATCCCAGTTCTCAGGAGCAGAGGCAGGAGGATTGTGAGTTGGAGGCCAGCCTGGGCTGTGAGCTCTTGTCTCAAACCAACCAATGTCTTCCTTCCTGGATTTTGAAATAACATGTTATACAAATATATAGATCCTTTAACACAGTAGTAAGGCCCTATATATTCCAGAAAAATATCTCCATATTGTGGTTACCATAGAGTAACCTACACTATCAGGGTATAGGTTAGCAGTCACGTGATTATGACATGAAATTTCTAGTAGATGAGTGTCATGTGGTGATCTCTGGTTCAGCACTCTAACCTAGAGATGCACTTGAGACTAAAACTCCCAGAATCCTCCTCTTACCAGCTATGTGACCCTGGAAAGGCCACTTAACCTTCATGTCAATGTTTGCTCTCTTGTAAAATGTAGTTGATAATAACCATATGCATCCCACAGGTTCACTTTAAAGACTAAGTAATTCACACATGAGCATTTATCCTGGTGCCTAGCTGCATGATCATCATTCAACAGAAACCTGGCTCTTTGCAGACAGGCAGACCTCTCTGGAAGGTTTGGCTGGCTGCTCCTTAATGTTTAGAGAGAGCCATTTTGACATAGTCTGTTCTGAGTCAACCAAAGTGTCAACACAATACAAAAGGAGACCATTAATAAAGCGCACAGAGTTATTGCTGACTTTAGCTAAGTAGAATAAACATCATAAATAACTTATTAGGAGAGGTTCCATATGAGCTGCCCATACATCACTGAATTTTCAGGACAGAAAGGAGACTTTTGTCCAATCCTTTCATCTCACACAGAAGGTAATTCAGACTTATAAGCTCAGTTGAACACAGCCAGTTCAGAATAAAATTGAGCTTGCCCCTCCTGACCCCATAGCCATCAAGACAGTGAGGACAGATCATAGTTTAAATCAGGGACATCAGCCTCAGAACTATTTTTTTTAAATGTGTGGATTTGTTTTTTTACAGAGCATTTGGCTCATAGGTAGTTTTCAGACATTAATCTGTCTATGAAATTCATAACCATGCTTCCCTACATGTTCTCATCCATATTTTGGCCAATGTTTACCAAGAGTGCAAAAGAAATCTACATTGGCTTGCTTCTAATTACAACTTTTGCCCAAGATTAGTAATGATATATCTGAAAATTGATGGGAAAGATAGTGAACAGAAAGAAAGAAAAATCAAAATAAAAGCCTTAAGCCATAATTAATTCTCCCAAACACTAAGGTTAGCAAAGTATTTTAAAGAGCATGTGAACTAGATTATTACACAGTAGCAGAATGGAATGGTACAGGTTGCTGGAGGGATGTAACAACACTGCTATTGTGGTTGACTGAGCATCCTCCCCACAAGTTCATGGCCACATGGGATCTCATAACATGACTTCTGTGGACTTAAGGTCAAGTTTGAGATGACATTATACTGATTCAGGTGGGCTATAAATCCAAGGATCGTGTCCTTAAAGAGACAGAGAAGAGGGCTGAGGATATGGTTCAGTTGGTACAATGCCTGCCTTGTGAGCTTGAGGACTTAAGTTCAGATGTCCAGCATCTATGTTAAAAAGGTAGGTGTGGTTGTACATGTCTATAATCCTAGCACTGTGGGGTGGGGTGGGGGCAGAGGCAGGCAGATTCTCTGAGCTTCTTGGTCTGCAGGCTAGCCTGTTGGTGAGTGCAGGAGACTTGATCTCAAAAGGGAACAAAAAGAGACATAACGGAAGACACCTGACACCTATTTTTGGCTGGTATATGTGTATGCATACACACATGTGTATTCATGCAGATCCTTAGACACACTATGGTATCATCCACAAAAAGACAGAGAAAGAAGACACAAGACATGAATGAGGTGATATATCATCCGAGGTTGGAGTGATGTTCACAAGCTGATGGAGGCCAAGAATAAGGGCAAGGTTGTGGTGATATTTTATCTGTGTCCCCCAATAAAGTTTATCTGAGGATCAGAGGAAAAAGCCAGCCAGTATATTAAACATAGAAGTCAGTCAATGGTAGCACACACCTTCAATCCTATCACTCGGGAGGCAGGGATCTGTCTGCATCTCTGTGAGTTCAAGGCCACATTGGGAACAGAGCCAGGTGTGGTGGCACATGCCTTAAATTGCAATACTAGTTAACCATGAAGATCTGGAGGTCTGTACAGACAGACAGGAAGTGACAGAGCTGGGCAGGAAGAGGAAGTGAAGTAGCTGGGTGGAGAGAGGAAATGAGTTGGCAGAACAGAAAGGCATATAGGCACGGGTATATAGGTAGTAGGTCTCTTGGGAAGCTGTGGTGTTGGTGAGGTGAGGTTAGCTGTGACTTTTCCTGTCCCTCTAATCTCTCAGGTTTTAACCCCAATATCTGGCTCTGGGTTTTTATTAATAAGACCATTTAACACTTTCTTCTACAGAAGGTAGAGGATAACTCTTTGAGCTCCCTCAGAAGGACTTACATCTCTATTACATTGGCCTAGGACTTCTATGGTATGAGTGTGCTGTATGGTGTACAGTGTGTGGTGTGTGTGTGTGCATCTGTGAGTTGCTGGGGATTGAACCCTATCCTCATATATGCTAGTATCATTGTGCTGTATCATTGAACTATATACCTTTTAGGCTTTGACTTTTTGAGACAGGTTAAAAAATTTTTTTTTTTGAACACAGGATTTTTGTGATTTGGCTCAGGCAGTTCTCCAACTCAACATTGCCCTCAAAACACCATCTTCCTGCCTTAGCCTCTGTAGTGTTGGGTAGTGTTGAAGAACACTGGCTTAAAACAGGACAGCTGAAGAACCTGAGTGGTTTAGTTTCTCTGAACTACAGTTGGCACATCCATAATGTACTGTTTATAATAGTAGTGACCATGTAAAGCTACTAGGATTAAGTAAGATGCATGGAAAGTGGAAAAAAAAACAATTTTCTTCCTCTTGTTTGTTCTATAAGAAAAATTAGAGAAAATTCAGGGGATTGTCAAAGTATTTTCAATAATAGAGAAGATGAAGATCTAGAGACACAAAATCCTATAGTAATAGGTAGACAAAAGCTGATTTTCATTGTTACATGAGGCCAATGAGTCTGTCTAGCTTGGGAGGTAGAATATGAGTAAAACTACACTGACAGCTTCCCCAAACAACAAGGTCTGAGCACAGTAGTATCATTGAATTGATTTTCATTTCCCAGTGTAAGGAGACTTAAATCTTTAATGTATTCCTAGTCAAGCCGGGGAGATGGCTCAGTGGACAAAGTGTTTGCTCTGCAGGCATGACAACCCACATTCACTCTACACATAAAAGCCAGGCAGGTGTGGTGGCCATCTGCAATCCCAGCACTTGAGAGGCTGAGACAAAGGATTCCCATAGCAAGCTGAGTAGCTAGACTTAGCTAGAATTTGAGAGATCTGGGTTCAGCAACAGATCTCACCTCAACAAATAAAGAGGGAAGACACTGATCTTCCTCTCAACAAATGGGGAAGACACTGGTCCTCAACTTGCATGTGCACATACAGATAGACATGGGCATACTACTCTCTCCCCACCTCAAGGCTCAATGGACTTCACCACCGCATAGACAGGCAGAGCAGTGGGCAATCGTCAGATTCAAAATGTCCACACTCTTCTGAGATGCTTGCCTGGCTGCAGCCTGTGCTGCACTGATGCTGTCTGAGAACTTTTGGAACAATCTTCTGGTTTCTTTCTACGTTGGTTCTGTTTATTCAGTTTTCTGGATGCGTGGCTGTATCTCCACACTGATTCTATGCTGTTTCCTGCCAGACCAGCAGTCTTTCATTGGGCTCTCAGGGACTCAGGGTAATTTTATCTGCTGGGGGAGGTGACTAGGAACTGAGATAGAAAGATTGTTCTAGAAAATGCCTCTCAGACAGCATCAGTACAGCATGGGCTGAAGCCAGACGAGCATCTCAAGAGAGTTTGGATCTTTTGACTCTGAAGATTACCTACTGCTTTATCTGTCTGTGCAGTGGGGAGTTCGTCAAGCTTTGTGGTGAGGAGACAGTAGTGTGTGCATGTGTATCTCTGTGTGCCCACGCAAGTTGAGGTCCAGTGTCTTCTCCAGTCGATCTTGGCTCACCCCTCCTACGGAAATTTCCTTTGAAATATTTAAATCCTTGAAATTTAAAAATGAAAATCTTTACATTTAAAACTTAAAAAAATTAAAATAATAGAATGAAAAATCAGGGCTGGGGAGATGGCTCAGTCAATAACCTGCTTCCTGCACAAGCATGAAGACCTGAGCCTGGATCCCCAGTACCCATGAAAAAAGCCACGTATAGTGGCGCATGCCTGCCATGCGGATGATGGTGACAGAGGTGAAGGGGTATGGGAAGAGGTGGCCAAGCAGCTTAGCTGTGCTGGTGAGCTCCAGGTTCAGTGACAGACTGACTCAGAAAGGAAGGCGGAGGAGGATAGAAAACGACACTCAACATCGACCTCTGGCCTCCCACTAGTATGTGCACACACACACACACACACACACACACACACACACACACACACACAGACACACACACATACACACAATAACACATACACACGCACATGTATAAATGAGAAATTCTTACAGAGGGGCTTGGTGCGGAGCTCTCGGGAGGAGGTTCTGGGTGAATAGTGTGTAAGATACTAGTCAATGCCATTGTTACCTGGAGGAACGTGTGGGCCCACAGTCTTGATCTGACCTTCAGGACTGCGCTCTCTCCTCCTGCGAGTCGCCCCACTGTGCAAGAGATTTGCAAACACTCGATGTTTGTGCAGTTCTGAAAAAGGCAAAGGCAGAGGCAGAATATTAGTGTCTTGAACGGCAGTAAAGAATCAACACCGAAGCTGCTTTCTTTCCGCAGACGATACTAGCTTGCCTGCAAATCTAATTTACTCCATTTAATTTAGAGAAAGAACAAATTCACTGAAGTAAATGAGACAAAGAAACAGGTAGCGATGATGAGAAGTTGTTTCCTGTTAATAGAAAGGTAAAAATGGATCATAAGGTACAGTTAAATCCATGCTCCTTTCTAAGGGCTCCATCTTCTTGTGGCAGCCAGTGAGCTCTTCTTCATTTTCTCAGAACTCGGGAAGATGTTTCTTAGAGATGAAGGTACACTGGGGAAACTTGGAAGACTTTGCAGAGGAGGCTCGTGGGTCCCTGTCACCTCAAGGACCCAAAGTTAAGGACTCGTTGATAAGCAATTGTTTCACAACCCTCTCTCTTCAGTCCAAATTGCTTCCTGATCGTAGAGCTGACTTGTGTAAAAGTTCCATTCATTACGCTGTTGTCAAACCAGACACTCACCCATCTTATAAAGGACCCCCTTTTAAATACAAGACATACAACGTGGAAAATGTTCACGATAAGGACAGTCTACCTATCAAATGAATCTTCTCATTGGATCCCAGATTTCACAGGCTCATTTGTTTGAACACTTGGTATCCAGCAGGTGGCGCTGTCTGGGGAGGCTATGAAGTCTTTAGCACGTGGAACCTGGTTGGGAGGAGGCCACTAGTGGCGCACTTGTTAGGTTATACTTACTTCTGGTTCCAACCTGCACTGTCTACTTTCTGACTGGTTATAAATGTACACTTGCTTTCATGTACTCCCAAGACCCAGACAGAGCTTCTCCTGGTACTCAGCCTTCCCTAGGACAAGCTGAAACTTCTCAGAAACTGCACTCAAATAAACCTCTCCCCCTTGAACTTGCTTTGCAGGGTGCTTTGATCACAGTGATGGCAAAGATGACTAATAATAGAGTGTTGGAATACATGGATACTGCACAGTCCGTTTTCCACGTTCCCTGTGCAGACCGATACCTCTCTAATTGGACTTAAAAAGTACCCACCCCCCCAAAGCAGAGTATTACAGAGGAGGCAGGAGGTTGAAGATGGAATCTCCAGGTACAGAGAGGGGAAAAAGAGCAGTCCATAAAAACCCTCAGGTGAATAAGCGAGGGTAGGAAGACAGCCAGGAGAGGACATACGGGGAGAGCAAGGGAAGGGCTGTGACAGTTTCATGAGCTGGTCAATAGCATCAGATGCAGAAAAGAAACGAAGAAAGACATGGTTATGGTAAATTAAGTAGGTAAAGAGAACAGAGAAAACTCTGGAGAGGGAGGCAATCAGGACAAAAGCACGGGGCCTGAGGTGAGGGAGGCGGAGATGGCTTTAGGTGGAAGAAGAATTAAGTTTCCATGCTGGAGATACACATTTTTAAAAATACAAACTGGAAATCATGATCCCAACACAGGATGTTGGCATTGTGCACTGACAAATTCCTAATCAGGAATGGGATTCCGTACTTGGTTGTAACCAAACAAAAACTGTAGGAGGTCTTCTTTAGCTTTTGATTTTAGAGTAAACTTTACATAATCATCCTCTCCTCAGAGTTGTCTTGATTCAAGGACATGGGTGGGTGTTGCATGGTTTGCAGTTTTTGAGCCAATAAGAGAAAAGGAGACCGTAATATGAGTTTGAAATCAGACACAGAAACTAATGACTGTCTTGGCAATCATTTGCAAGGAAAATGCTCCTATGATATTTAGAGATTGAAATTTATGTTAAAATATTTAATGAGAAATAGCAGAAGGGAAGAAACAGGACCTACAACACAAATGCCTGCAGATTTCAGGAGAATACTATTTATAGATCTCTACTGCTCTTTTGCTCAAGATTCACGCACAAAGCTGACATTTAAAGAGGAATTTGAATCTTTTTTTTTTGCAAATATTTAGTTCTGTGGAAGTCTGGATATTGGTTTTCCAATGGTATCTTCCCATTTTTACTGTACACAGTAGAATTCTATAGATGTCAGCTTTTATTAATGACAACATACAGTTTTATTAATTTATTCTAAAAAGGACGATAAGGATTGCCCACTCTAACATTTTGAAGCCATTGTACAGTCTGACAGAAGTACAGGCTCTCAAATCATAATCTGCTGATTATTGTAGCCTTTTTCTCTTGTATCTCAGGTGCTTTTCCCTTAAGTGTGATATTGGAGTTAAATTCCCTTGTACCCTTTATTTCCATGCTTTAATTTTCCTGTTAAGAAGAAATAAGCAGATATTAGAAGTTAAGACACAATTGTATGTGTTCCTGTGTGTGTGTGTGTGTGTGTGTGTGTGTGTGTGTGTGTGTGTGTGTGTACAAGTACACATACCCATGTATGCATATGCATGTGTAGGCCAGAGGTCACCTCAGATGTTATTTCTCAGGCACTGCCCACCTTCTATGCTGAGACAATGTCTCTCACTGACCTGAAACTTGCCAAAGATGCTAGGCTGGCCACTGAGCCCTGGGCACCCAACATATCTGTCTCCTCAGTACTGGGATCAAATGCACACCCCATACTCAGCTGTTTTACATGGGTTCTGGGGAATGAACTCAGGTCCTTATGCTGGCCAGGAAACCACTTTTCAGAGTGAGCCATCTCTCCAGCACTGGGACATAGTTCCAAAAACCTCTTCCATTATTTTTGGAGCCCAGGCCAGTTGTGCGCTCACCACACCATCTGCCCGCAGACTTACCATCTCCAATGGGAACTCTGCTTCCTTAAGTATTTTGTCTCATTAGTACACAGCTGGGATTTGTGTCTATGCCACCCTATCATCCTTTTTGAAGCTCTTGACTATTAGGGATATGTTCTGGAATGTTAGTACTGTAATTGGGAATGAAATTGTCCTACTTTATTGGACTGGAATAAGTAGTTAGGATTATCAGGCTTTTACATATTTCCTCCTCTGCTTTAAAAGTTACAATCAATTCAAGCTTTTCCCACCTTCCTACATGCTGTTCCATTTGTCTTCTTCAAAACTCCCATGTGCCTCCATCTCAGCTGACCACCAAGACTGTGGCCCCAGAGGAACTGATCTGGGCTCAGAACTCAGGAGGAAACAGAGTCTGCAGACAGGAATTTTCCCCTGGGTCTTAACACCCTGTGCCCAAGGCCTACATATTACAGAGCAGAACAAATGCTTCTGCCACGCCAATGCATCTTTGTCGTAAAACAAATAACCTCATGTACAGTTGTTGCTCAGACGTGGCTTATGTACCGACTGTACCTGAGGCTAGCCTCTTGTTAGAACCCCTCTCCTCTTCCTCTCTTTGATCTTTTCAACAACCCGCTCCATGACTTGACTAATTTGCTGAGGGAGTGGGATGCTATTTACACCCAATGACTTCTCCACTGTGGTTAGGAGAAAACCATTGTTAACATTCACTCATACTACCACTCTCCATTTTATCAATTGCAAATTAGAACTTTCAAATTTTCCATTTTCACAACTGAAATTTGTGATGGTTAATCTTTACTGTCAGTTTGACTAAGTTTGCAGTCTCCTAGGAGATTGGTGAGGCACACCTTTGGGCATGGTCGTGAAGCCATTTCCAGAGAATGACTCGTTGAGAGGGGAAGATAATCTGAGAAGGTAGGTGGCACCATTTTTTGGTGTGAGATAAATAAGTGGACAAAGGAGAAAGCAAGATGAGAGCTGGTGTTCTCTATTCTCTGACTCCTGGTCAGCCAGGGCATGAACAGCTCTTCTTTCCCACACACCCTACCACCATGATGTGCTGCCCAAGCCCATGGGGCCAAGGGACCATGCGGTGAACCAGGTCACTAAAACTGTGAGCTAAAAGAAATCCTTCACTAAGTTGCTATGTCTTGTGTTCGGTCACAGCAAAGAGAAAAGTAACAATACTTGTCGTGACTTTTCTTTCAGTTATGCAAATGCTAAACTCCGAGATTCAAACCCTTGGATATAGATTTGCCCCCTTTAGCTACCTGGAGTTATGTCACTTTTATGACTGCCTGGAACAATGGGGTTCACTGAAATAGTGCCAGAATGGACATTGTATTTTGAATTCAGTGAGTGTGGTGGCTAGTAAATTTGGTTGGTACTTAAACTATCTTTTAATCTGTGCAGTAGATTTTTCATAATTGTGTTGAGAGTTAAGAGGATGAAGGACCAGAGAGGAAGAACAGGAGTTGGTGGAATGGAATTCTAAGGGCATTTGAGCTATGACTCTAAAAGCTATCATCAGTGGCTCAGTGAATTCATACCTAAGTCATTTGTTTACACAGTCACTGAACACATGGGCCAGGTGCTGAGCTCTACCCAGGGGAAGCAATGCAGGGAAAACCATGCATATTCTCATCTGTGGGTTTTAGATAGGGTGGGCTGGTAGGGAAGCAGGCCTGATAGAGCATTGTAGTACCCAGAGGAGTCTCATAGTCATTCAGCATTTCTGGGAGAGGGCCAGCAGCATGGGTTTGGGGTTTTCCCAGCTCCCCACCTGGCGAGGGCAGTGACTGCTGCTCCTGTGGAAACAGCTATAGAGCTCTCCTTGGCTCAGAGTTCTATCTTTTCCATTCTTTCCTCATTTTTTCCTTGGTCCTGAAGCTTCCTGATGAAGGCCTCTCTTCTTTCTGTTTGTGACTTTGGATTGGCTACTTGAGGTTGTAGCTTCAATTTGGAATCAGTGAAGGACAATGAACATCAGGTTGGGCTTCTTCAGTACAAGTATGAGGCAAAAAAGCATCTTCTCAGCCAGCCTCTGCTCTATCCGAGGTACAGTGTTCTCAGTCTGTTCTTACCCCAAGTCCCTACAGATGCTCAAAAAAGAGGATGGGATGTCTGGTGGTCTCTGATTTCTGCAGAATTTGAGAATGTACCTGTAACTGAGTCCTTATGGATGTAGTCTGTGAAATGCTGATGAACTGAACGTTGATGCTTGCTTTGTGCCTCTGCTACATGGTCAGGAAAGGACGAGCATTCATGTGAGCAGATACAGGTGAGGAGATAAGATTAGAATCAGCATTGGGGTGGGTAAGGGCCTGGCATAAAAATACTGATTCATGCTGACAGTTCTGCAAATTCCAGACTAAGATCAGGCTAGACCCACCAGAGCCCCTCAGTGCCAAGACTCCCACATTTCAACCAAGAAAACCTGAACACACTACTTTTTTCTATAAGGAGATTTTATTTTATGCTAACTAATACATAGAAATGCAATGCAACAGGGTTCCTAATAAATATGATACTGTTGTTTTCTTCTCACCCTTTTGCCATCCATGTTTTCCTAAAGTTGATGCGTACTCATTGCACGTGTTAATGGATTTCACTGTGACTTTTTATACACGCGCACATCACACTTTGGTCTCATCTGCCTATTGGCTGCCCTCTCCTACTCTCCTCTCTATCCCCCCCACCTTTCCAGTAGCCTCTTTATTACTTTAATTCAGGTCTTTTGATAGGCCCTCATGTAGCCTAGGCTGGCCTTGTACTTGCTGTGTAGACAAAGATGACCTTGAGCTCCTGATCTCTCTGCCTCTATTTCCCAAGTGTGGGGATTGTAGGCATGTATCGCCCAAGTCCCTGGGTGTGTTTGCTGGTTTGTTAAGATGATAGTGGGATTTCTAGTGATCTTTTATTTTTATATCCTATATTCCATATATGAAAAAAACATGCAATTCTTGCTTTCCGTGTTTTTTATTTTTCTCAATATGATGTCTGCTAGTTCCATTAATTTTCCTGCAAATGACTTGATTTCATCCTTCCTCAAGGTGTTTCAGTGTTCCATTGCCCATGACTAATCACACTGCTTTTATCTGCTCATGTGCTGAAAAGCATCTAGGCTGAATCCTGTCACGTGGTTTTTGTAAGCAGTGCCTCAACACACATGGAGGTGCATATGAATGACAAGATGACTTGGTTTCCCTGAGCACACAATGCTCACCTCCTTTGGACAGGCTAAGCCCCATGAGATTCAGGGATAGGTGTGACACTGTAAGGACACACACTGGGTAGATGCGGCTCTCGGCACTCATCTCAACTGCCCAGCTCTGGGCCTCTGGGTGGGCTAACAACTGAAACTTAATGATTTTAAATTGATTTTTAAAAATTAATCTCCAAATAATGGGATTCAGTATGACGTTGTCAGGTATGGACATTATTACTCCCGTCCTTCCTCCTGTCCTGTTCTTTTTGTTCTTGGAATGGATTCACAGTCACACTTTATTTTCATCTCTGTTTCTCTGAAGAGGCCTCCATGGTGGATTCAGAAGAATATAAAGGTTATATTACAAACACTCCTTAATCTTTACAAGAAAGGCACTTTCATTTTTCACAGTACAGGCTGCCCCCAGTTGTCAGGCGTGTCTGAACATTGAAGGAGACTGAAAAGGAGTTGAAGTTAGAACCATCATGTCTGGGAATTCTGTCTAAGCCAATGTTTTCCTCCAGTCCTGTGCACGCGATGACAACTCACCAGAATTTTTGTCGGGCTCTGTCTGTGGAGTTGGACCACCGGCACATCCCTTTTCCTGACAACGTGAGGAATTGTAGCATTTCTCAAGAAGGCACTGAGCTCGGGGGTGTCCTCCGGGGAGGCAGCAGGCTGCAGAGAGAAAGCAGGAGTCACCACACACAGCTACAGCCACAGTTTTTACATTTTCCTTCACCTCAAACCCTGGGCAACTGAATTGGATTCACATGAGAGTTCACAAAGGTTGGGCTTTGCCATTGGCACATTCGACACGACCTGGCTCACACTGACAACGAACACGCCTGTCCACTCTTCAGTTACAGGAATCCATGAGGCACAGGAGAGCACATTCTTGGGAAATTTATCTCATAAGGATGAGATTTTAAGAAGAAATCACTTCCCCAGAAGGGCAGAAACCAAGAAGCTGCCATTCCAGACATGAGTTACTCTCAATGTTTTTCTCATGATGAAGGCGGCTGGCTAAAGCAGGGCAACTTCTATGTGGAAAGATGAACCCTAGGGTATCTAGAAAGGGTTGGGGATAGTCTGATGTGGTCTACAACTTACTGTCTCCATGATTGTGACCTGCTCCCATGCCCATGAGAAGTGCTCCTGTGAGGAGAGCTATGTCCTAAGAACAATGGCTTTCCCAGTGCATACACTGCCATACTACAGCTTGCTTTCCATTCTTACTTAGTTTATGTTCTAGAACTGGTGATTTTATCTCAATGTCCCTGTTGAGCACAACTTCTAGCTGAAAACACATTTTGGGGTTCCGATGAACCACACACAATATCCTAGTGACAGTATTTGCTTGCAGATCTGCCTAACCTGCTGCAGCTCATAGGACATAAGCAGTATGGAAAATTATGAATGGGTCCTAATACAAAGTAGTGAATGAACTTAAAGCTTTATGAGATTTTTTAAATTATTATTTTGTTTGCATAGTTCTCAAGTATAAACTTGGTAGAAATTCAGTGTTGTGTCACAGTGGCAAAAGTTTGGAAAGCCTACAACCAACTGAACATAGAAACGTACTATTCCCCACTTCCACCCCGAATATTAAGCCTCCCTTTTTCTTGGTTTGTCTATATATGATGGGAGCAACACTATTACACTCATGTCTGGAATGAAAAAAGAAATTCCGGCATAGCAGATGTGGGATGTACTACAAAAGGTAAAACAGTGGTGATCAGTGTATCTAAGGGCCTGGAAGAATCTACCAGACAGACAAAGGGATGGAATCCAAACACTTCAGGATGTCAAGGGTCGTGACATGCTGGATTTTGCTCCTGTTTGCATCCCCAGATTCATCTCACCAAGAGCCCTTTGATTCCTATGCTATAGCAGCATATCTGGTTTCTGTTCCTGAGCTGCATCATCATGAAGCTCTGGGCTTCCATTTCATATGGTACATGTTTTCTGTGGTCTAGAAGTAACTATCAGGCCCATCCACGATTGCCACTTACTGGTCTCCATGAGAAAAGATAAAGCAAGAAGCAAAGAGCCACATGCATGCTCCTAGGAAACACCAGAAAACAGGCAGAGAGAGGAAATCTAACATGGACAACTTGGGAGGATGGGATGGGAAGTCCGGTAGGAATGAAAGGGAAATTTGCAAAACCAAGGGATTCTAGGTGTCCCCTAGATCCTGAAGAAGAGGAAAACATGATGAGAGACGTAAGTATTGACTGGCTGTGTCAGCTAAGAATTTGTGGTCCTTTCCGGAGTGGGAGATTCTGTGGGTAAAAATTGAATTGTAATTATTCAAGAGGGTTTGGATAATTGACAATTGTTTAGAAAAGTATCAGATGAAGTCCCTTGGTTATTCTCATGTTAAAGTGGTTTCTTTCCATGCCAGAATCTGTATAGATAGTTTCAGGTAGCCAGGACTGCACCATTAGGTCCTAAATAAATAAATAAATAAATAAATAAATAAATAAATAAATAGATAGATAGAATGTAGCTGCCAATCTGTATAGATAGTTTCAGGTAGCCAGGGCTGCACCAAGAGGTCCTGCCCAAAACAAACAAACAAACAAACAAACACTAAATAAATGAAGCTACCAAGCAAGCAAACAAAAACTAGTTTTGAGATGAGCCTTAAGTGATAGGCAAGAAGATGACCACTCTTGAAAATGATACAGGTTGAATTATTTGGCTTACTTTTTATTTTGATGAGGAAGGAAACTTCTGAGGCTTGTAAGATCCAAGGAAGGGATGGTAGAGGAGAAGAGGTTGAAGACACAGGGAACAGGGACATTTGATGTAGAAAAATTAAGCCTGGAGTAGCAGAAGGAAATGACCTTTCTCCCAAAGTGTTGCAGAGAGAAGTTGAAGATGAGAGAGAATATTAGATGGTGTATATCATGGGCTGGATTTTGTGATACGGAAATCAATCATTTGCAGACACACTTGTCTTCAGGCTACTATCAACGGTAATGTGAAAGAAAATAGATTGGAATTCCAGAGTGTAGTAAAGGCTTAGAGAAGCCAGTATAGAGATGGAGGAGGGCAGAGCTTCCTTGTGATAAGGATGGCCCCATGAATATCCAGCCATTGGGATATAATGGGACTACCAGCTAAAGGATGGAGAAGCTGGACTATGAAAGTATGTCTGGTTAGGACTTCCAGGGCAGTGACTTGGAAATTGCAGAAGGGAGATTATGACAGCTTTTAAAAGAATGTCCAGGTAAATCATCTTGCATTCTCAGCATGGCCAAAGGTAGCTTTGAGAGTGGGCAGAGTTGTGCTGACTACTTCCGAGAAAGCATGCATATTAAGAAAGAAAGGCTCACTGGAGAGAAGAAGTGAGAACATTATAAAAATAGGATGGATGAAGAATAGGATGCTGAGTGTGACAGAGGTAACGTATCTAGAGAACATGTTCAAAACCAATGACCAAAGTAAGGTGAGAACTCAGATGGGTCAGCTCCAGGCATGTTGGAATTTCCCAGGACAATGACAGAGCCTTGTCTTACCAGAAGGATAAACAAAGGAGCTGAGCACAAATGCTCAGAAATTCAGGATCTGATAGAAAAGGATTTACAGCCTAAGATTTAAAAAAAATTGATCTCAGACTGACAATTAAGAATTGTGTAAATCCCTAATTCCTCATATGTTTTATATTACATTTTCTGTATGTGTATGCTGTCATGGGTTTCAGATTTATTAAGTGCAACTTCTCTTTCTTTTCATTTTCTTTGAGACAGGGTCTCGTTATGTAGCTCAGGCTAGCCTTAAATCTGTTATCTCCTGCCCCAGCCTCTAGAAGTAAGCTAACGTACAGAGTGGAAGTACTGGAAAAACTGGGTCATGGTTATTTGTGTGTATGTGTGTGTAGCTTCATATATGTGTGAAAATGTGTATGCACATACATATGGATGCTAGAGTACACTTTTGGCTATTGTTTCTCATGTGGTATCCACTTTGGGGTTTCCTGTTTTTTTTTTTTTTTTATTTTGTTTGTTTGTTTTGAGACGGAGTCTCTTATTGGCCTGGAATTATCCCAGTAGGCTATGCTGTCAGGCCGGAAAACCCCAGGGATTTGCCTGTCTCTGGCTCTGGGTGATTTCTTTCCATAGGTTCTTGGGATTAAACTCATGTCCTTGTGTTTGCATGGTGGGTATTTTTACCAACTGTGCCATTTCCCTAGTTTCTAGTTGTGATTTTCTATTCTCAAATTATAACCTATGATTATTATCAGTATTAATAAAACAATGGCCCCAAACCAAGAACTCTGTGTGGTTTCAACAGATGTGGCTTATGTGGAAATAAAGAACATATGTACTGGGGTACATTATAATATTTGTCAATATTAATATACAGTCTCTGGATGAAGCACAGGTCTTCCTGCTTGCTAGAAAGCAGGGCCTTTGCAAGACAGGGGTCGACGGAACATGGCCTTTCATTTCATACCACTGATTAGCAGACAGAAAAAGTGCTACTGTTGAGCACCACAGTCAAAGGGTCTTCAAACAGCTTACAAGCCAGTTCTCTCAAATGGCATACCAGAAATTATTTCACAAAGCAAAACATAACAAAAGGGGAGCAGTTATCCAAGAAATGTAAACAACAATTAAAATCCATTTTCTATTTGGATAGTGGAGTCTCTTTCCCAGTGGCCATGGTCACATAGACCACACTTCTCTTCGGCCTGAGATGAGTGGAGGTGAGGGAGGCTGGTCTCTGAGCATCCGGGTAAGGCAGACATGCAGTCAAGAGTAAATTGGTTCAATGCTCTGAGAAGCTCCAAGTAAACACTCAAGTGACTCCCTAAGAACAAACAGCCTCCTTCTGCAACAAGGAAATGATTGGTAGTAAATATGTTTCTTTCTCCAGCTGTTACTCAGAATTTGACCCCAACAAGACTTTCTGATTTTCATAATTTTCCCCCAAACTCCTCACTCTGGTATAGTTTAAATTTATGGATTGAAGGAACAATATATAGCCAGAAAGTGCAGTGCAGTTAGAAGAATGGAATTTGAAGAAAGCGGTTGAGTGAAATGACTTGCGGCCCTGAGAGTCCACATGTAAGCATTGTATCCCATCTTTTTCTAGTTTGCGATGTGTCTTTGGAGTTCAGGTATTCCTAGCATACACGAAAGAACAGATTATACTCGTGGACTATAATTAAATCTAAGAGGAGGCAAGCCTAGAGGGCCAATGTACCCTGCAATTAAGACATACATGTTAAGGGTTTGTGGGCAGAGGGAAACCCTACTTTTTTCTTCCCGAGTTATGTGGTCTAACTACAAGAATCAATGCTCTCAATTGATGGTGCTGAAGCTTCCTTAGGCTTTGGATGTGGCGTTTTTCCATTGTATGATATCTATGAGGTGTACACATGTATGTTATATGTGCATGCAGGTGCTCCCATGCACACACAGGTAGGTGCATGTGAGTGGAAGTCAATGGACTACCTCAGGTGTCATTTTTCAGGATGGAGAAGATGAATTCAGTAGCAAGCACAGAAGCCAGGTGGACTGTCTTGCTCAGCCCATCTGAAGCCACGGATGGCTAGGCTATTTTCTCAAAGGAGGAGGGGAGCATGCACTTGACACTGACCATGATTGGGGTAAGTCACAGGCATCAATGAGTGCTTTAGCTATGAAATAAACTGTGGCTGCGAA